CTTTAGTAACTGACTACACAGAAATAAAACTAAAGTCTGCTTATAAAAGCCAGCATTTCGGCCAAGACGAGATTTTTATGTCAAGTGTTTCCTATTATTAATGTCATATTTGGTAGAGATTCCAGCAGTTTGGGTTGGATTAAGAAGAAAAAAGCAGCAAATTAAAATGTTCCGGTGAAACTCTCTTTGTTAAAGACATATCAGACATTCCATTTATCCTGCAGCTGTATTTGTCTATCCCAAATGCAGCTGGAAAAAAATGATGCCTCTTCATGGGATATTTCCATTCCTTCCTTCCAAAACACACACATCTTCCACCATTTCCACCACACAGAGCTCATTGCTCTCCTCCCCCAAACCAAGGAGCTGTAGCTACAAGATTGGTTTAAATAAGAAAATCTGTGCTCTAAGAAGGGCATTTTAGATATGGTGGTTTTGACGGATCCTGATTTCTTTCTGTGAACATATATGAGCACATGTATGTGACATTCAAACACCAGTTTCAGGGAGGAACCATTCATGTACTTTTAGCCAACTATGATTCAGGTGTCGAATCAGAGCTGGGTGACCAGGCTTTCTCTGAGAGCAATGAAAAATGAGCACTTCCAGAAGGCAATTCACGCTATTTATCATAAGGTGGGAAGAATCGCCCTACGGACATTCCCATCTTCCCTCACGACAGCAGAGGAAGCCTAGATAACTAGGTTAGGCTGGACCCCTGTAGGAAGCACTGTAACACTCATCGTAAGTTTACAGTCTAAGCAAATCACCTCAGCTCTCTCTTTATTAACAGTAAAGAAGGATGGTCTCCTCCTTCATCTCTTATCTTAGACATTTTATGGTGAGAGGACTTGCCTCCTGGAGAGGTCTGTCTCCCTCTCTGTGGACTATAGCAGGAGTCTAGAAGGCAAAGTTAGACTAAACTTGCCTTAGATATTGGGCCTAAATGTTGGTTGACTAACAGCAAGAGACAAGCATCTCTCCTTGCTCCAGAGGGATCTCCTACCTATCTGCACACAGGTACCTGAATTAGGAGAAAACGCTCCTTCTGGAAGTCTTCAAAGTGCTTCTCTTCATTGCCTGTGCCATAAATCAGGCCCTTGCTTTAGGAAGGCTGATTTATTAAATATTTAAAACACAGGTACAAATTAGAGGCCAAAGTCAGGCAGACTGGAAGCAACTGTGGTTGGCAGTACACTCAAAATACATAAGATGGTATTTAGGGGACTATTCCAACTGCTATTTGTCATCCATTTTTCTCCTGAAGTCCCATATTGCAGTAATCTTGTATGGGTCACAGTTTGAAGAAACTGACTAACAACGTGATTTCCCTAAGCACAGATAAAGTGCATCAACTCCTCTATATGCTCTGTGCCTGAAGGAGCAAGTAGTAAGGCCAAATACTGAACCTCATACCTGTCATAAAGTAGGCTCAAATATTTACCCCAAAAAGAATACAGTTTAAAGAGGACTTTATGAAGAGAACTTAAGGAAACCTAGCACTCCCCAAATATGTTTAATATTGTATACAACTGTTGCCGAGGTTGTTAGCGAGAGCCCCACAGCCCCTGAGGTTACTGCAGTATGTCCTACTGTGGGATCAGCTGTGGGCATGCACCCATCCTCACACATCCCCATCCCTCCCCTGCACCTCACTTTCCTTCCTTCGTGGGTGCAGTGAAGTGGAACAGACGTCAGGAACATTTCACATCTGCTGTTCCTAATACATCTAATCCTAAGAAAAGGATTTCTTAGTCCTTTTCACTGAAAAGGACTAAGAGTGGTTTCTATGGTCAGCTGCTGTTGGGAGAGAGATGAACGTCGAGTCCTGGCTCAGGCTCGAGCGCTGCGCAGCTCCTGATGGGGACTGGTTGACCCATTTCAAATAGCACAGTGCTTGGTACGATGCTGAGCTTAAGCTCAGGACTGGACTAACTCAAACTCAAAAGGGTCATGTTTATACATTTAGAAGATAAATGGAACAAGAACTTTTCTGGATGAGGATCAGAATGCTCAGAACACTGCAGGATTAACCATTTTCTGAGAAACTTGTCTCAAAGTGCATTCTCATTATCAAATTTATTTCATAAAAAATAAATAACTTTAGAAATGTTTTGGTCAATCAAACTTGGTTATTATGTTTTCACTACAATGCAATAAAAACATTTTTTTCCCTGCTATGACTGATTTTCATCAAATAACCTTCCTCAAAATGGGCAATAACTCTAGTTGTATTACACTTTCTGACTATTTTTTTTGAGGAGGGCATAATTGATCTTATTTGGTTTTGAACATTTCAAACATTTCACTTTTGTTCTTTTGAGAAACTACTTGCTATTCTACCATCAGATACTGACTCCAATAGACAGTGGAATCAAGGGCAGAACATGAGGTTAACAATAACTAGCCTGTGGCAAAGAACAGTCGAAGTAAATACTTTGAAAGATATTCCTTTTCTGCATGTTTACATAGATGCACATAGCACCTTCATGAACAGATCATCTTCTCATTCACGTTTCTGGTGACCTATTGGTGCCTTCGGTTGGAATGGCATTAGAGTTTCACCCTAGCATGCACTGATTGCAGTGGCCTTTGTATTATACTTAACATAAAGAGATCTCCTTTATTCTTCAAGAATAACTGCCATTTCTTGCTTTGATTTTTAGAATAATACAAAGATAAAAATCATATAAAGCTTAAAGTACCATCTCAAAGGAGATGCTAACAAATATCAGGAGAGGATTCTAGACATGTTATATTTATAAGCATACTGACTCTGTGAACTATAATGATTTTGTATTACTAAGGGCACGATCCTACAAAACACTGAGTGCCTCTTGCAACTAGTGTCCTTGACTTTCATTGACATCATGAGGTTCCTAAAAGGACTAAGCTTTACTCTGCAAGTATCCTCTAAAAAGCAAGTCTTTAGAAATTCCACCCCACAGCCCTGAGTTTATTGCCTCGCAAAGAAATGTTTGCTCAGTTTACAGGTGAATATTTATTTTTCTCACCTGACAGTTTTGCAAACTCAACTAGACATCAAGCTGAATTTTTCCTTATTCAAGTGTCATCATTAGTAATAAAGGTATTTTTGCCTTGGATACACCTGTGCAACTCCATTAGCCTTCATCAAGGTTACATGTGTGCAACCGAGGTTATATATGGAAGACAACTGGGATGAAGAGACCTGACTGTGGACACAAATCGACCTCTGCAATATCTATTGCTGCTGATGATGTGCAAGAAGGCAAAAAGTGGTGAGGCTGGCAAATGGGCTAAACCTTTCACTATTTTTTTCTTGTACTGCTTGTGAGCCTGTGTGAGCAGCTAAAAGACAACAAATGCTGAAATCTAGAGTTTTGCTTTCATGGACTCTTTTCAGAGCATTTAAAAATGTTTTTCTTTCCATTTGTTTAAAATGAGTTCGTATCAGACCAGTGTTCAATCTAAAGTATATCTCCATTTGAGAACTAAATAATAAAGCAGCAACATTCCTCAGTGTGCTGCTAGAAATAGATGCTGCCTAGTGACTTCTGCACACAAACAGATATCTTCACAGCAAAATCCAAATGACAATCTTTGGCCAGTCAGTTATTGGATTTCTGTAAGTTGATTCTGAGATTTTTCCTTCCCTATAGATTCTACTTCTTATCACCCTAAAAAGCATATACTGTGGCCTTCACAATTAAATGATAATGAGCAGACAGAAGAGAAAGGACAGGAGAGATCTGGCATAGCTACAGCTAGCAATCATTAGATTTACAGAGGGGAAAAGACATGCTTCCTAGGCCAACATACTTTTTATGAATAATTGATAAGGCAGTCAGCACAGTTATATCATAGAAATGTAATATATATCCATAATTATAAAACCAGTTTTGTGCAAAAGGACATAATACACTGAAAGGAGATACCAGCCAATATGCCATCCTGAAATAAAATACAGTCACTATTGTGTTAGTTGGCAAAATTTAAATACAAGATCTGAAGCAAGCAAAACGTTCTTTAATCCCATTTTTTAGCACAGTCCAGGCTCAGTCTGCTCAGGAAAATACTGCAAGGCAAAATCAGCAGCTGCATTAATTTGCTGATGATTGAGAGAAAAATGAAAGTTATCCTCATGTTTTTTTTCTCCCTACTTGCTACTCTAACTTACTAATAATATGAGAGTACCAATTTATTCCTATGCAAGTATATGAAGCATACAAATTGAAAAATCAATGTAATGGAAAAAAAAGATTATCATGCACTGTTTAGAATCAATCAGCTAGAAACAGAGGGGGGAAAATGTGAAGGCGGAGACATGATGTTTAGAAAATGTACATATTGTACCTACCCTAACCTAGAGTGTTTGTAGGAAAAAACTACCCTTAGTCTAACACGCAGACTGAGCTATATCTTGACCAGAAAATTGTCTCATTTCCAATCTTTTCTAGAGAAATTCACCAGTTGTCTTTTCTTCTTTTAAAAGTCCTCAAATAATAAAAATATCAATCCCTTTGCCCATAAAAGCCACACAAAAGCATGTAACAAAGATTTCAGGGTGAAGGGATTACGGTGCTCAAAATGCTTTATTAGCACAACGTCTCAGCATCGTTCACCAGAACGCTGATGGCTTATTGTAGCTCGAAGGACAGACTTTTGCTGTATGTGATGGAGTCCCTTGAAAACATTGACAGCAATAGTTTCTAGTTGTGGTCTGAATCACCATTAGCAGTTGAGTTTAAATCTTAAGAGATCTCAGTGGTGGAACACTTTCTTCGGCCAAAACCAGCCTCTACTGATCAGAAATAATTACACTGTACGAGTCAGATGTGTAACAAATGGGTCTGAGTCTCAGTTTGGAAATACATTCAGAGGAGGTGGAAAGAATGGCTACTGGCTCTGTGACAGGAGATTCAATCTTCATAAACCTGCAAGAGAGGGGAGGAAAAAAAAGCGACACAAATGCGCCCTACAAAAGAACAGAGCAGATCACAGCTGGAAGGAAGGCAAACCTTTTAATCAGGTCCTTGAAATACAAGCTGCAGGAAGCTAGAACATTTTGGTGGACTTCAAACTCTTTGCCTTCAACAATAATTTTCAGGTCTGTAAACTCTTTCGCTCTGCGTTGCTGGTTCAACTCCTTCAACATTTCTGCAGAACAGAGAAGACAGACAGTGCCAGGGTTCCCATTAAGAGTTTTTTTATTTTTACTTTTTACTTTTCTTTTTTTTTTTTGTAAAGAAGTAGAGAAACAGGAAACAACTGATATTTTTGTTGGTAAGATTGGCTCAACACAGACAGTCAGAAGTTACGAACATAATGTGTTAAAAAAGAAAAAGCAAAAGCAGGAACCAGTAGGTCTAAACAACTGAAATATATATACAGAAAAAAAGCAAAAACAATCCTAAATTTGGAAGGGTTAAAAACGAAAACAAAATATTTCAGCATCAGCAAATCAGAAACACAGAGAATGTATTATTACAGAAAAGTTAAAATAATTTGTTATAATAAAAATCAAGAGCTAATGAATTTCTATCCAAATGCAAATAAGTTTTGAACATACTAGAATAATATTAGTAAAAATATGACATTATGATGCAATATGAACTGGATATGGGTCAAAATAATAAAACCACAAAACCTGCAAAAATAACTTATCCTTAACATACGAAAAATGTGTTAAGCCTCTCACTTAACAGAATAGAAGAGTACTTCTAAATAATATATAAATTACAGTGCATAAAAAATTAGCCAAATTATCAATGCATCTTGCAACACACCTCGGCTCTATAGACTACAATTGTATATGTTTCAGAATTAGCTTAAAAGCATCCTTATGATAAAAAATAATCTCACACAGAGAATAAATTACTGCCTTTTATAGCAATTCCCATTTTTTGCACTCCAAGGATTTTTACCATCACAGCATTTTCATTTTTTAGCCTTCAATGGCTTCATTTACAGCAACAATCAACTTTCACACATCATGAAAGAATCGTAATGATTAAAATAACCTATGAAAAGTGTTTCCATCCTGCAATAAAGCACCTACCTTGCATGATGCCTCCTTTTACAAAGCCTATTGGTACTAACAGAATGAAATAATAGCATGCCACGTCTTCATGTGTGAATGTGAGCTACTAAGCAACCTACGTGTTTTATACGCTGGCTGGACTTTGAAGGGTAAGACTTCCCTCCAACTTTGCAGACCAAAGTGGCTATCAAGATGAATAATATACTTTTCACCTGGGCAATAGTCTGGCAGTTCAGAAGCCAGTGATCAAGATGATAAAAGAGCTGATTTTAAATACTAAAGGATTTTGGGTTTATTTTATGTTTGCAATAGGTCAAGGTTCTCATTTTCTCCGTGTAACACCCTGAACACATTCCTCTTCAGACAGATCTGTAAATCAACAACAGTTCTTTACCTGGAGTTCCTCCTTACCCAAAGTAAAAAGGACCTGAAGAGCGTGTAACTGTAACTGTGCTTAAGCCACTGTTGGGCTTGGGCACTGGGCTGCCAAAGCATCACCAAAGGGTCTTATGGTGAAATGAAGACACAAAAAATAACCTTTGTGCTCTCCTGCCTCCCCAGTGAAACTCAACAGGAATCATTTCAGCGAAGCACTAGCGGTTAAACAACAAGAAAGCATGCAAATATATAACTGTTGCACAAAAATAAATGGAAGATCTCCCAAGCCTCAACATCTGTGGTGCACATTTTTCAGGCCTAAGTAAATAAATGTCACCTTGCACATTTATGTCTATTTAATGGAAACACAGTAGTGTCTGAAAGGCTAATTATTCTGTGCTGAAATGGGTCAGTGCTCTCCAGAGAGCAAGCAGATCATTAGAGAGGGCACAGAAATAACAGCAGGCTTGTGTCAGATCTATAATAGGGGAAAATAAACCACTCTGTCCTGTGGGTGCTATAGCAGGGACTATTTTTAACGAATTCATCTGAGCTAAAGTACAATGATACATTTGGAGCAAAACTTAAAACAGGATCTGAATGTTCACTCTTCCGCAGGAAAGCTTCAGGCTTTTGCTGGAGGTGTGGTGCTGAAAGCCTGACTTGACCACGAACGCTTCAGGCCTGGGTTAAAGACCAAGGAAGCTTTGGACACAAGGGATGTCCTACCTGATTTAGGGCCGAAGTGGCTCAGGCCTCTGGTTTCACAGGAACAGCACCAGGTGCTTGCTTAGTTGCATATTTCTGGAGGTGACTGTAGGGGAAGTATTTTTCTGTTCCTTTCACATATGAACGACTCTTTTTTTCTATCTTGGTCCATTTTCCCCCTTTCACTTAGAGAAACTACATTTTCCTCCTGACCAATTTTCTATCATTTCATGCTTTAAAGGCAGTTACTTTTCCCTCTAAACTTTCTGATACTCTCTTATCCCCTACTTAATTTCATTTTTGTTTTCTGTCATTCCCTTTTTCAAATTTGCTCAGCTACTGTCCTCGATCCACGTCTGCACTTTTCCTATGCTCCTATTCAAGATCTTTTCCTCTAGTTTTCGTGGCAGCCCTTTACAATCTTCCTTACAGAAGCCTTTCAGGACAAGGGCTCCAATCAAGACTAAGTCATATAAATTTAAGATTACACTTACACAAGGGGTCAACCACCATCTCACCTCATTCCATTTCTTCCTTTTAAAGTTCATGATCAATTATTCTAGTGTTCAGAGAGCACAAATGTATGAACAGCAATCGCATGGACAGGTTCAGCCACTGCACCTATAGATGTTGAGCTCTCTGTGCTATCTCCAGTATTGTGAGAGCTGGTTTGAGCATCTAAGTCCCCAAATGCCTCCCCAGGTAATGAGCTGATTACTCGGACTTTACTGAGCACCCTTTAATTACAGCCAGTCCTGCAGTTCCTGGGCACGGTTTCTATCTACGCTCTTTACACACTTCGGTGTGCTTTATACTGCACGCACTCATTAAGAGATGCAAACCAGAAAACACAGGTCTGGAGCAGTGGTGCAACTTGACTCACAAAAAAAAAGAAATCAGAACAAACTAATCAGAAACTGAAGCTCCTCTTTTTTCTATAGACATTCGGAGGCCATAATTCCTTCCTTGTCCTCCTGACTTGTTACAGTGCTCTCCAGAGAGAGATGACTACGAACAGTCTTGTATTTTTTGTAGCCCAGTTTCCAAACTAGAAAGAGAAGAGGCGGGTGGAGAGGAGAAGGGAAGTCAGGAGACTGCATTGATTCATCGATCTTCCTTGCTGAGGCTCCTTTGTATTACTAAATAACTAGCAGGCATTAGTATTGGACACAAGGTTATATCAGAACGGGCCCTCACTCTCAGAGTATTTGTAATGCTCACACTGTGCTTAGCCAGGCATTAATGATTTATGAGGACTCAGGATGAGTTGCAAAACAAATTTTTTCACCAGGTAATAATGCCTGCCGATGAGTTGTAAAAGGAGAGACAACACAGTGCAGTCCTGGCAGTGAAAAATTATCTCAGCTGTCTCCTGCTAGTCCCTCTTCTGGGCTCCTCCTAATTTTCAGTGTTTCCTCCAACAAATGGAGTTTCCTGAAACCTTCAGAAAGGGATGTGCTGGGAATTTCCTAGTGGTTATTTATTCCTCTGGTTTCTTTGTTCTTACAAAGGATTTTTTCTTTATTTTATTTTTCTCACTTGATTTTATTTTTTTAAGAGATCCAGGTAAAACCGAAGTGCAAGGGCAGTTAAGGTGCAAGGTTTCAGCAGGGTGGGCACTGATGTTCGCTCTCCTCAATGAATCACAGCAAATGCTCTCGCGTCCACAGTGCAAGGGATTTTCCTTCCTGCCCCAGATGCACACACGCGTTGGGACTGCAGAAACCAAGCCAGTCCTTTCTGTCTTCTTCATCATTACCGATGCTAAATCATTCCCAGTCAAAGAATAGTTGAATGTTTTCGTCATAAAGAAGTACACAACAGATACCCCCATGTTCTTCCATAATTACATGAGCCACATAGAGGTTGAACCTAAAGGGGACTTTGACCTGAAACCTGCAACTGAACATCTCTACGGAGCTTGTGAAAGGAAGCGCTTTCTGTCTTGCCATTATCAGCCTTTGTATTATTGCTTGGGGCCATTTAAACATAATTATATTGAGAGTCCCAGAGACAATATGGGCCAGAAGGTGCAAGTGACTTTCCTCAGGTCAGGAACAGAGCCAGGAAGAACTCAGAAGCTTTGACTCCTGGTCCCCAGATCCACTCATCACACTACATTTTCTCCCTTTTAATTAATGGACAAATTACAAATTAAACTGAAGAGCCCATAAGCCTTGGATCAAATATAGGACCAAGAACAACTGTGTAATTGTGTAGATCAAATAGAGGGAAGAGAAATTATATAATGAATCTTTTTTTTTTTAAAATTACTTATGATCAGAAATAAAAATGAAAAAGGAACTTATTCCCCAAGTTTATTTATTCTGTATTTCAAGCACAGAGGAGACTAGATACTCAGTCAAAGATCCTCTCTAATGCACATTGCTGTGGCATGATGGAAGCTCTCAGGTTCCTTTTCACTTAACAAAGAACTCTCTACTTAAATTCTAGTAGATAAGGCTTTAAAAAGGGGCAGCAAAAGCTAAAATATAATGAGCTGTGAAATATGGAAGAACACATTTTGCAAACAGTGTTTTTTAAAATTTGCTTGGAAAAACTAACCTATTATAGAACTGAAAAGGCTAATTGATGAAATATCACTAATTATTTTTGTGAAGAAATGTAAGAGACCAGTGCTTGCCCAGACAGCCCCATGCTTTCATGATTGGGACAGAAAATGTGGGAAAGCCAAGAAAAGCTACCAGAAAAAAAATCCAATTACTTCCTTGCCTTAAAAAGTAAGGAGATTAATTTCCAAGGTTATGCTCTAGTTATGTAAACCAAACATTTTAACCATTAAGTGCCAGCACTGCACACACTTGCTTGTTTTGATAGACAGTGGTACAGTGTGTGTAGCTCAAAGAAATTAAATTAAGAAGCAAAAGACCTAGCAGCCAAATAGGAGTTATGAGGGATGGGAAAGTGTGTAAGATGGTGAACCCATCCTATTGAACTATACCATAACTCATGATCTTTTGCCAGGTCTCTCTTTCTCTTCACCACAATGCTCCCAGACTCAAAGAGAA